AAGAAAACCCCAAAAGTTGTCGACTTGCTCCCCGGTGTTCCCTATAATCAGCAATTCACCAATTGCTGCAAAGGTGGAGTGCTTGCAGCATGGGGTCAAGATCCTCAAGCTGCAGTCTCAGCTTTCCAAGTGAGTGTTGGATCAGCCACTTCGAACAAGACCGTCAAACTTCCCAAGAACTTCACTTGGTCCGCAACCAGGTTACACCTGAAGTCCTGCAAAGGACGTGCCTTCGACGACTTTTCTCACCCGGACTGGCACCGGCAAACTCAGGCCCTCAGTAAGTCCTTTTGGCTCACACGATCTGGACTTTATCTTAGTTTATGGAAGATTGTTGCTGTTAGATTGATTAGTTTCAATATCCTGTCCTGCAGTGACATGGAATGTGACCTGCACTTACTCACAATTTCTAACTCGGAAAAACCTGAATTGTTGTGTCTCTTTCTCATCTTTCTACAATGAAACCATCACTCCTTGCCCATCTTGTGCTTGTGGATGCCAGAACAAGAACAATTGTGTCAAGTGAGCTGCCATTCCACTCCAGTGCTTAAACTTGATTTACTTTTATATGAACATCAAAACCTTACAATGAATGAGATGATGCAGGAGTGATTCCAAGATTCTTAAAATGGTAGGAATGAACACTCCAAGGAAAGATAATGCTCCACTGCTTCAATGCACACACCACATGTGCCCGGTTCGGGTACATTGGCATGTCAAGCTCAACTACAAGGACTACTGGCGAGTTAAAGTCTCGATCACCAACTTCAACTACCGGATGAATTACACGCTCTGAAGCCTTATTGTCCAGCACCCTAATCTTAATAACGTAACACAAGTTTTTAGTTTCTATTAAAAGCCTCTGGTTCCTTATGAACCAGTCAGTAAGCAGTTGACAACATTTTGCTTGCATTTCTCATTAGAACGGAATAGTAATTAGATACCTAATCGCGGGTTCGCGGCTATGTGATAATGTGCAGATGACACAGGGATGTTCTATGGCATGAAGTGCTACAATGAACTATTGATGGAAGCAGGTCCATTAGGAAATGTTCAATCAGAGGTACTTCTTAGGAAGGACAAGGACACCTTCACTTTCAAGCAGGGGTGGGCATTTCCCAGGAAGTGTATTTCAATGGTGATGAATGCATGCTCCCTCCACATGATACATACCTCTTTTTACCAAATTCTGCGCATCAACACCTATTCTTCACCAACTTGTCATTTTTTGCTGCAATTCTTTCCTTATCGGTGACCATTTGGTAACAAAAATTTAGCAAAATGGTATCCGGATTTGTTCGCAAAGCTATATGCATCCCCTTCGTAACAAAATTCTAGCAAGGGGGTGAGTATTTTTGAAGTTCTTTCAACTAGTCAGAAAAAGGCATTTTGTAACAAAATTCTAGCACAATGGAATCCGAGTTTGTCAGCAAAGCTAATACGCATCCCCTTCATAACAAATAAAGTAATGCACCTAATGAAATGCGTTTTTTTTTGCTGGTGATGCACAATATTGAAATGCCAGTGAGTTTAGTCCTTGATGCCCTTACCGTAGTGCATTCACCGACCATAACATCACGAGAACAAACGTGGAGAACCTCTCTGTAGTTTGAAAGATTCAGTCACAAATGGTACATACTAGATGTTTGAGAACAAAATTGATCGATGTTTACTCGTATCCGAATAAAAACGCCATTGCTGCCAAGAGAGTCACCAACAGAGCAATTGTGGAAGTAAGCTGATGGGAACTGGCATTAGGCAACAGAGGATAAATATCAGGAGGTGGTACAAAATAATCATCTGTTGAATAAAATAAACAAAAGTCTGTTTAGTGACTAAAAAAATGAACTTCATTCTTCAGTAGTTCCACTTCCAGATATAAGGGAAAATAAGTATATTTCCTCTTTACAGGTAACATCTGCTACCCTTTACAACCCAGAAACAATAAAACTAGCATTCTACTCTGGAAAACATTAGATGCACGGAGCAGGAAACATACAAAAGTGACCAGGATCGATTGAACTTATTTCTGGATATGGTCGGGGATTTAAATTGTGGTGCGGTTGCGTTTTGAGTTATGTTACTTTTATGATATTTTATGCATATATAAAGAATTTATATGTAGTAAGTGATTCTCACCTTTCTGCCTCAATTTGATTTAATGTGCTATATATATATATATCCTGAATTCAAAGAGTGCAAATATGAAGAGAAAAACGTACAGAAATGAATATGTAAATAATCATCCAAAATCAATGAAATGTACATTCTATAACAGTATGTACATGTAAATGTGGATTTATTGGGCTATTGAGTCACGAGATATGTTGGAGAGACAGAAGAATGTGGAGGGCACAATTGATGCGTGACAGAGCTTTTAACTTTGTCATACTTCGATTGAGACATGTTTAGGACTCTACGAGTCTTTTTTAAGTGTTGTAAAGAGATTCTTGTATCCAATAACTTGTTTTTACGTAATATTTTATATGATCATAAGGGTCAATAAATCAAAGATAACAATTATAATATATGCATGTTGTGATTCATATACAGTGGTTAAAAGAAGCATGTGATTAGTACATGGAACTTGGTAAAAGATAGTGGTATGTGTGATGCATATGCAATGCTTTTATTTCACCTATATCGTAGTGTATGTATGTTGTGATTTAAAGCATTTATTGAGTTCTTATGAATTCATATTCGTTTTACTAATTATGTAACATTTTAAATTCGATCAACAACCTCTGACGAGTTTACAAGTATCACATTTGGTCATAGTGGCCCAAATATATGTAAAACAATACAAGCCAAAATAGCTCGATACTATCCTAAAAGTTGAGTGACTTAATTGAAAGGATTCTTTGTTATGCGGCTAAATTAATAACGGCTTAAGAGTTATATGATCATTTGAATAGTTTATCCATAATTGAAATAGAATGATTTTTTTTAATAATCTAGAGTGATTATAAAATAATATATCAACTTTCTTAACCAGTTAACAACACATACTATACAGATGTGATTGCTCGAATTCAGGACATCTTGAGAGAATAATTTAAAATAGAATAATTTTAATACTTATTATGAAAGAATCAACAAATAAATTATTATTACAATGATTACCATTTTTTATTCTTTTATCAATCTAGAGGGGGCAAAATTGCTTTAATAATATTGTGAGAAAAAAATTGCCTCACATAATACCCCAAAAGATTATTTGTTGAAATAGGACCCTCATTAAAGTGCTAAGGGGAAGACATTAAGGTGGTGTTTGTTTTTGCAGAGGTAAAAGGTCTGCAGTCTGCGAACCACATCTGCAGACATCTGTAGTAGAAGAGATGGACCAAAAGTCTGCAGTCTGCAAGAAGAATACTGTTTGTCTTTTAACGTCTGCAAACTGTTAAAATGAACTGAAATATAAATAAACTGATTCTTTAAACTTAAAAGAGTTTTGCAATATTGAGATTTAAATAATTTTAGTTTTACAATACTGAAATTTAAATAATTCATACAACTACAATAATAAATTATTTAAAATAAATCAATCCATATTTTAAAATAAATTATTTAAAATAAATCAATCCATACAACTACAATAATAAATCAATCCATATTTTAAAATAAATCAATCCATACAAATAAATTATTTAAAATAAATCAATCCATACTAATAAATTATTTAAAATAAATCAATCCATATTTTAAAGTAAATCAATCCATACAAATAAATTATTTAAAATAAATCAATATATACAACTACAATAATAAATCAATCTATACTAATAAATTATTTAAAATAAATCAATCCATATTTTAAAATAAATATGTATTTATTGACTTATTTATCCATGCATTGTATTTTATCTTTATTTTTAATTTTCTTACTGCCGGATGTCTTCCACGGAAGCTGCTCTCAACCTGGCGTTGGGGCCAGCCTACTACCCCACCTCCCCCTTACCCCATTGCATATGGGAATAGGGTTTTGTTGTTGTTGTTGTTGTATATTTTAAAATAAATCAATCCATACTAATAAATTATTTTAAAATAAATCAATCCATATTTTATAATAATTTATTTTAAAATAAATTATTTTATAATAAATTATTTTAAAATAAATTATTTTATAATAAATTATTTTAAAATAAATTATTTTAAAATAAATAACCTTATTAAATTATTTACAATTATTTTAATAAATAACTATATTTTATAATTGTTCTTGAAGAGGTTTGAAGACCTTTGAAGACATAAAACCAAGTATGCACCAAGAAGAGCTCGTGCAGACGTTTGAAGAGCTTCTGTCTTCTAAAAAACAAACAGTCTGCGAAACCTAATGTCTGCGCATAGTCTGCGCGACGCAGACATAAGTGATTTGAAGAGCTTACACAGTGAAAACAAACACCACCTAAGATCACTACATTTTTAGGAGACACCGAGAATATCATGCATCTTTAGTATCCATGTATCTTTCGGTGAAACTTAAAACGCATTGTGCTTCATACATCTTCCAACGTACACTATATATGCCATCCTAATTAAATAATAATAATCTCCTAATAACCTATACCAACTATTTTTTTTCAAACGCCTCAACCAAAAACAGTTTTGCCTACGAGAGGGTGTTTTTTTTTTCTCTTTTAATTTAAGGGGTTTCCTCGCAATTTCATCAAGCCATTATTTAAGTCATCAATGGAGGGCTAATGAAACCACTAACACATATAGGATATCACATTATCACGTTGAGAATAAGATTTTCGATGACTTCGAAAATTTCAACTCGTACTGAAATCAGTCATATTCAAACGATGGAAGATGAATTCATGGAACCATATAATATGTTTTCCCTGAATAATAACAGAATGCATATTAGCTTAACCTCTTACAAAAATGTTGGATATCTTCTCTCAGCATAGTTCGAACTCACTTCATGTTCTTTTTCTTTCTCGTAAACACCTACCGTTTCTTTTTTGGACTGCACTTGAAAAGGAATCCCTATGAAGATGAAGAATCGTTTATGTTCTCTTCTAAGCTTCTTCATTTCGAAGAAAAAATCCCCTCAATGTTCACAACTTCCGGAGGATATATGCCGTCAGTTTTCATTGGCCGAGATCAAAGCCGCGACCAACAACTTCCATCCGGACACCATAATCGCCACAAGTTATTTTGGCAGTATTGTTTACGAGGGGACCATAGATGATGGAACCATTGTCGCCATCAGACGCTGCGGAAGCAGTTTTGGAGGAGGAGCGAGCGAGTTACAATTAAACGAGGTACAGTTGCTTTGCCAGTTGCGCCACCCGCATCTCGTCTCTCTCATCGGCTTCTGCCTCGTGGAAAAGGAGATGTTCGTGGTGCTGGAATACATGAGCAGAGGGTCACTCGCCGATCTTCTCTATGGGGTCGGCAAGGACTTCGTTCCACTGACTTGGAAACATAGGCTGCAGATATGTATCGACGCAGCACGCGGATTACATTACCTTCACACCGGAGCCAAGCGTTCTGTGATCCACCATAACATCAAGAGCTCAAACATACTTTTAGACCAACAACGGTTCTGTAAACTCTCGGATTTTGGATTGTCGAAACTGGTTCCTCTTAACACGTCGAAAGCATCGATAAGAATCGACACGGATGGGGTGCTGAGAACTTGTGGATATATGGCTCCAGAGTACTGCAAGCGTGTGCTTACGGAAAAATCCGACGTCTACTCATTTGGGATCGTTTTGTACGAAGTTCTTTTTGGCAGACCACACTATGATAGCACACTACCGGAGGAAAAGCAACATCTGCTTGTTTGGGCCATGGAATCACTAATTGAAGGAACCATTTATCATGCCATTGATCCCTACCTCAAAGGAAGGATAGCTCCAGAATGTTTGAACAAGTACTTGGAAATCGCTTCCAGTTGTGTCCGCCATAAGGGAAATGAAAGGCCAGTAATGGGGGAGGTGGAGGCCACACTAGAGCTTGCCTTGGAGCTTCAAGAGAGAGCAGATTCTGAAATGGAGGCCATGAATCCTTGTGGACAATGTATGTATGATGAGGCATCCATTTCTGCCTCTCTTAGGAATATTTTGGGTTTTAATGGCCATAATTTTACTGATTTTGGTTTTCACTTATCAGATTCAGATAGCAATAATGTCAATAATAATAGTTAAATGCTTTTTCAGGGTACTAATATCTGGTTAGCTAGTCGTCTAGTTCAATTCCATACGAAAATTTTTCGATATCAATACTTATATGCTCATCCTAAAAAATATTTTTGCATCTACCTTTGTCACTATTAGACTATTAGTAGTATGTTAAGTGTGATGAGAGTATGAATGGATGCGTGAGGCAGTTAACATTGTTAGCAATCTGTTAGGGTGTTAGTTTCAGGTTGTTAAGGCTGTTAGAACTGCTGTGCAGTTACAGTTTGGTTAGTTGTGCAAGTTTGTAGACAATGCCAGCTGATGTATTGCAAAGTTGATATACATTCTGTTTTAGTATTCTTCATATATTACTATCTTAACATGGTATCTTTCGCTAAACAATCTGGGTGGTTTTCTTGTGCTTTCGCTGCTTAAAAAGAAAAAAGAAGGATAATCATCATCATGAATACTGATCGGTTGGCTTCTTCAATGGAGAATGTGTCGAAGAATGCAAAGACATTCTCTAATAAGAAGGTTAATTTCATTCTTGATGAAGCGAATTTTCTATTATGGAAGCAACAAGTGGTGTTCACTGTTCGTAGCCATAGACTAGAAATGCTACTCAAAGGCTCGATGCCTGCTCCATCGCAAACAGTGCTTAATGAGTCTGGTGAAGATGTACCAAACGAGTTGTATAAAGAATTTGTGGCGTAGGACAGTGCCCTTGCATCCTGGTTGCTGTCAACGATTAGTCCATAACTTCTACCTCAATTTGTGGGTCTTGAAATGACCTCTGCGGTTTGGACCACGGTACTTCAGTTTTTCTCGAATAGATCTACAACTGCTGTCATTAGCTTGCATTACAAGCTCCAGTCACTTAAAAAAGGTGATGAGTCAATGAGAGTGTACCTTACTCGAGTTAAAGAAGTTTGTAATGCTCTAGCATCGTGTGGCAGTGTTGTGTCTCAGGCAGTGCTTGTTGTCAATATTCTGAAGGGATTGCCTCGCGAGTATCAACCTTTTATGGCTGTTATAACCACTATGCGAAAGTTGGTGTCTCTTGATACTATTTACACCATGTTGTTGGATGCTGAGACTTAACTAACTGGATTCTGTGATCCACTTGATTCATTTCCCATGAGTTCTCATGTTGCTCAAGGGCAAGTATCATGTAAAACTGTAGATCAATCTGAGCGTAATGTTGTGTCTCGTCAGATGTATTCTTGTGGTCAATCGACTGGTAGAGGACGGGGTAGATCTCGACTGCAGTGTCAATTGTTTGGGAAGAATGGTCATTTGGTTGATCGATGTTGGCATTGATTTGATGAAGACGTTCCTGGAGTTACAGCTAATAGTAACTCGTACTCAAAGAATGAGTCTGGTACTGCTTACTATGCTGCTAAAATAGTAAGGATGTTGGGTGTGATTGTGGTGCCAATCAGAAGTCTGGTTCTCATCAGCTGACTCAACTTAAGCCACAAGCATCTCGCGAGCATTGGGTTGTGGACTCGGGTGCCACACATCATGTCACTTCTGATGGCATGAATATCTCTCAAACGATGGATTTTAACAATCCAGGTAAATTAATTGTTGGTGATGGTATTGCATTAGATGTTAAATATGTTGGTCAATCTCCTTTATATACATCTTCTTGCGTGTTGTTATTAACCGAATTATTTCATGTGCCAAGAATAACTAAGAATATACTCTCGGTGTCAAAGCTTGCTAGGGATAACAATATTTTCTTTGAATTCCATGCACATGAGTGATGTGTTCGTGATAAAAAGACTGATGCAACTTTGCTTCGAGGGAAAGAAGATGGTGGTTTGTACTCCTTTGTTATTGATTCATCGCTTGAAGAAAGTTCCAAGGCAGAAGTTTATGTAACACAGTTGTCTACATCTGTGTATGACTTTTGGCATCAATGTTTGGGACATCCCTCGCATGATAGCCTAGTAAAAGTTTGTAAGGAACTGAATGTAATTTTGCCTTCAAGTATTAATAAAACGTGTGTTGCCTGCCATATGGGAAAAAGTCATAAGTTACCATTTCATGCATGTACAATTGTGTATGATACTCCATTTCAGTTAGTATTTACATATCTTTGGGGACTTTCACATGTTTTCTCGAATGGTTATAAGTACTATGTAACATTTGTTGATGCATGCACCAGGCATCCATGGTTGTATCTGTTAACAGATAAGGCTCAAGCAGTTAATTTTTTCGAGATGTTTCAGCAAATGGTCAAGGTGCAGTTTGATTTGCCAATAAAGGTTGTTCAAAGTGATTAGGGAGGTGAATATCGTAGGTAGTCGAATTATTTGCTGAGAGTGGGCATCACACACAGCCTTACATGTCCACATACCTATAAGAAAAATGGAGTGGTTGAATGCAAGCATCGTCATGTTTTTGAACTTTCTCTAGTTCTGCTTGCTCAAGCATCAATGTTTGTTAATTTTTGGGCCTATACAGTGGTTACTGCAATTCACTTGATCAACAGGTTTCCTACAAGGGTCTTGTAAGAAGTTTCGCCGTTTGAGAAGCTTTTTCATCGAAAACCTGATTATGGGAAGTTGAGGGTGTTTGGTGTCTTTGTTTCCCTCATTTGAGACCTTATTTAAAGTATAAGTTGGATTTTAGGTCCAAACCTTACATATTTTTAGGTTATAGTGTGCAGCATAAGGGGTTTCAATGTATTGCTGAAGATGGTAGGGTTTATATAACAAGGCATGCGGTGTTCGATGAAATGCAGTTTCCTTTTGCAGGAATGAGTGTTCAAGTTTATGTTACATCAAATATAAGGAGTTAACTTGATTCACTACAAATTCTAATTGATTTAAACAAGTTTCATAGTGAAAGAGGCACTGCATAATCTGGTCATGGTTCAGTGGCCAGTACTAGTGGCAGCTCTAGTGATCTACCTGGTGCTAGTTCTGGTTCTGGAATGGTAGAGGTTATAGATGGTGTGCCAGGTGTTGAGCACCAAGTATCAGTTGAAGTCTCATATATTGATCAATATGTTGGTGATGATGAACAAGATGATGTTGTCAGCCCTCATGGTGATGATCAATGGTTGAATCTTTGTAATGCTTCTGCAGAAGGTACATGCAATCTGAGTGGTGCACAAATAAACAAGCATCCAATAATGACAAGAAGTGTGAGTGTGGAATATTTAATCCAAAATCATATACAGCTGATGTTTTTAATGAAGTTCTAGGTGATATTTATGAAGCACTTAAAACTTCCAGTTGGAGAGAAGTTGTTTAGGCTAAGTTTAATGCACTACAGAGAAATAATACCTGGTCACTTGTCAAGTTGCCTGCAGGGCATGAGGTTGTTGGATACAGGTGGTTGTTTAAAGTAAAAAATAAGTATGATGGGCCTGTTAAAAGACATAAAGCTCATCTTGTTGCTAAAGGATATTCACAAGTTCATGGTTATGATTTTAAAGAAACATATAGTCATGTTGTTAAATTTGCTACATTGAATGCAATTCTTTCGATTGTTGTTGTAAAGAGTTGGCCCTTAAGACAAGTTGATGTGAATAATGCTTTTTTGAATGGTGATCTGATCAAGGATATGTTTATGCAACAACCACCTGGATTTGAGGAGTATGCTGATGATGGTAGTCTACTTGTATGTAAACTTAATAGAGCACTGTATGGATTTTGAGAAGCACCAAGAAACTGGCATGACAAGCTTAAAGCCAGTTTGATTCGGTTGGGCTTTAGTGAATCTCGAGCATATGTAACACTTTTGTAAAGAATGATAAAGGGTGTTATACATATATTCATGTTTATGTTGTTGATGATATCATTTTTACAGGTGGTTCTTCTCATGCAATTGATGGTGTGGTTCAAGCCTTGAATCAAGATTTTTTCTTGAAGGATCTAGGAGAATTGTCCTAATTCTTGGGTATTGAAGTCAAACGCATCAAGGAATCCTTGGTGCTATCTCAGAAGAAAAACATAGTTGAATTGTTGGAGAGGACGGATTTACTAAATGCTACACCTTCAGCCACCCCGATGGTAGGTTCTCCAAAGTTGACCCAGGAAGTTGGTGAGCTGTTGACAAATGCACGATATTAGTATAGCATTGTTGGTGCTTTGTTATATGTTTGTCATACGAGACTCGATGTTGCATTTAGTGTCAACAATGCAGCTCAGTATATGCATGTTCCACGTGAGTTGCATTTGGCTGCAGTGAAGAGGATACTTTGATATTTAGCTGGAACACTAAACTATGGTCTCACATTTTCATGTATTGGCAAATCACTTGAAGTTGTGGCATTTGTTGATGCTGATTGGGGTGCCAGCCTTGATGATAGGAGATCAATGTCTGGACATATAGTATTTCTTGGTGCATGTCATGTGGTTTGGTGCTCGAGGAAGCATAAAACTGTCTCCAGGTCTACAATGGAGGCTGAATACAGAAGTGTAACTAATGTTGCTGCTGAAGTTACATGGATGAGTTCATTATTGTGTGATATAGGAGTTGAAAATCGAAATGCACCTGTTATTTGGTGTGATAATACAAGTGTTGTTGCATTAAGCACGGATACAGTTCATCACGCACAATCAAAACATGTAGAAATGGATGTGCATTTTGTTCGTGAGAAAATTGCAGCTAAACAACTACAGGTGAATTATGTTCCAGCTAGTCATCAAATCGCAGACGGGCTCACCAAGTCACTGACAAAAAGAGCATTTGAAGTGTTCAGGGATCAATTGCATGTTTTGTCTTGTTAATGAAGAAGGAAAAGGAAGGATTAGGTAGAATATTAGACTATTAGTAGTATGTTAAGTGCGATGAGAGTATGAATGGATGCATGAGACAGTTAACATTGTTAGTAATCTGTTAGGGTATTAGTTTCATGTTGTTAAGGCTGTTAGAACTACTGTGCAGTTACAACTTGGTTAGTTGTGCAAATTTGTATATAATGGCAGCTGATGTATTGCAAAGTTGATACACATTCTGTTTTAGTGTTCTTCATATCTTACTATCTTAACAGTCACCCACGTTTGAGT